AGCTTAAGGACTATGGATTCCATTATGACAAAATTCCTATCCTTTGTGACTCCAAGAGTGCTATAGCAATCTCTACAAACCTAGTGCAGCATTCCAAGACCAAGCACATAGATGTAAGGTACCATTTTTTGAAAGACAATGTTGAAAAAGGTAATATAGAAATATACTTCGTTCCCACTGAGATTCAACTTGCGGACATTTTCACAAAAGCTCTTGATGAGAAAATATTTTTATTCCTAGTCAGCAAGATGGGTATGTTGAATCTCACCACTTAGAGGCAATCACAAGTTTGAAACCTGAGATTCTCAATATCTCATAGTTATGCCTATAAGTGATATATAGTATGTTGGCCATAAACACCAAGTACTCTAAACCAGAGCCTTTGGTTGTAAAGACCGGAGCCTCTGGCCATTTAGAAACACTTGTTCAAAAATTGGCTAAAAGTTTTTCATCGCCTTCACAACCAACGCCTCTGGTTGTATAGACCAGAGCCTCTGGATTCCAATCTTATGATACCAGAGCCTCTTTGGTCTCAAACTTGGATTTCATTGGTCACTCATGCATGATATCACGTTATTTTCCTTCATGCTTTGGAACCAGAGACCTCTGGTCCAAAGCAAATCCTTAGCTTTTATTCAATAAGTATTTCCTTCGCAACCAGAGCCTCTGGTCTTATAGACCAGAGCCTCTGAATTCTCAAAGGCCCATCCATTATACTCCCTAGCATGCACTTAACCATATTCTCATACTTCTTTTCATCCAGAGCCTCTGGTTCTAAAGACCAGAGCCTCTGGATTCATTGCCTTCACAACTAGAGCCTCTTGATTCATTGTCTTTGGAACCAGAGCCCCTCTGATCTCAAAGACCCATTCATATACATATTCATTTGCATACTTAGACAAATTTCATCATCTTTCACAACCAGAGCCTCTGATTGTATAGACCAGAGCCTCTGGTCATCTAAATGACCCTCCTTATTGGTTCTAGGGGGAGTTTTTAAAACTCAAAACTAATATTCATGCATCATTTGAGGGGGAGCTATTCATTAATAATGTCTCTCCATTATATATATATGCATTTTCCATACCAGAGCCTCTGGTTCTACTATCCAGAGCCTCTGGACACTTAAATGCTACATAATACACCGTGTATTTAATCAGAGCCGCTCTGGTTCTACATAATGGATTGTCAATACTAATCTAGAGCCTCTGGTTAGTCATCCAAGGCTTATTTATAATATAATCCAACATTTCATCGATGAATTAATTCATACATGTTCAACCAGAGCACCTCTGGTTCCTCACCCAATGAGTCATGCTCAACCAGAGCTCCTCTGGTTCCATGACAAAATAATTTTCATCCAAAAACCCATCTTAATTGAAAATTTTCTAAAGATTATACAAAATTGCAGCTTTTGTGACTAAAAACTATACAACATGGGTTTTTAGAAGACCAAAACTTCGTAATTCATATTTATCTTACAATTAGATGGAATTTTAAATATAAATTGTTTTTGGATTAATATTTCAAAGAGATATTATTTGGAATAATTTTTTAATTACTCCAAATAATCCAAACGTCATCCACCCACGAGCCTGACACCATATACATACGTCATCCACCCACGCGCCCATATACGGTCTGTTCCCCATGAACCGTTTCAAATTTCCCTTCCCTATTCCCGCCTTGACACGTGTCCTCCAACATTAATGACACGTACAATCAAGACGGCTCACGATCCCAAATCAACTCACCTTTTGCCAAACGCCTTCCCCTTTCATGATTATTTAAATTTAATAATCAGAAAACCGTTTCACGTTCTCCTCCCCCCACCTATAAATACCCTTCTTCTACCTCCATTCATCCCTTACGCTTCCAAAAACCTGCAACTAGACTTTGACGCACAAACAGACCTATAACTGCATCAACAATGGCCTCCTCTGCATCACATGAGGACAACGACAACGACATCCGTGTTCAATCCATCGGCGCCGACAGCCGTACAATAGTATTCTTACCAATGAAGCCCAACAATCATGCCATCGAACTACGAACCACCCTGTTCAATGATAGGTTTGCTGTGATGATCGAATTCTTCCGTAAATGCATTCTTCTAACAGCATTGACTCTAACCGACAATGGCGTACCTCTAAAGTACGTACAACAATACTGACAGACCTGTGAGTACGACCCTGACAGCCGTGGAATAATAGGGGACATCGACGCCCCAAATGACAAGATTTACACACTCAAGATCTCTCGGGCCAAAGTATCTCGGGTTCTGTGCATTCCAACCCGCCGAGAGCTCGGCATTGACCAATATGCTGACCAACCCACGACCTCTGACATCCTCTGTTTCATCCAAATGCTAGGTTACAATCGTGGCCTACGCAACGCCTCCGATTTCAAGATGCAGTTTTTGCCGCCAATGTGGAATATGTTCTTTTCCATATTGAACAGGGCCCTCACATGCAAGMTAGGGTCGATGGATCAAGGAAACATTAACATAATGACGATTATGTATGGACTCTTCTTCAACATCCCTCTCGACTATGCTTTCCTCATATATAATGAGATTCACACAGCGGTAGTCAAAAAGTGTAAGCTCCAGGCCACCGGCAAGCCCTTGACTTCACTTTTGTTTCCTCGTTTCCTATCCCTCTTCATCGGGGATGCGATGAGGAGACATAACCTACCAACCGAGGAACCATTCACTCCGCTATTCAAGATGCATGGCCATCGATCTACACTCTCGAAGGATGGCTACACCATCGACAGGCCACTTTCCAAAGCCATGCTTAGTGTCATTCCAGAGACATCTGAGATACGACGAACTTATAAATGCTCTCTACTGTCCCATGCACCAAGGGCAGCAACCCAGAGTGCATAGAGCCGTCCCTAGAGTCAAGCGAGGGAGCACAGGAGCCATCTTCATTGGATGATGAAGATGATGATGATGATGATGATGATGATGGTACTCTACGTGTATCCCCCGGCCCTTCACAAACACATCCCCTTGCCTCTTCCCAAAGGGCAACCACCTCCTCTACCCCCGGCGATCAAGGCCAAAGGGGAATTGAACAAGGACGACCCAGTCCAATCCCACATCCAGCCATCCATCTAGAGGCCATTCTTCGGGCCTCTGGAGATGATTTAACTGAGAAACCACAATTTCCATCGCCACTCTCCCAACAGAGAGGCGATGAAGACATAAGAGCCAATTTGCCTCATGGCTCGACACTACCACCCACACACCCAGAAGCATGTGTTGCTTCTGACATTGCTGAACCCTAAGATCGTTCAGATCGATCTCTCATTCATGCACAAAAACTCCCTTCGATACTTGATCTAGCGAAGGGAAAACACACTTAATTCTCTTACCCGGCCTCTAAAGCCGAGGAAAAAGAAGAAGTAGTTGCAACATCAAGAGATAGCTCCTTACTAGAGGGCTATCGAGGACATGATGGAAGTCTTTCAAGGCCTACATTTTCACAAGGCAACGAAGGCGCCTCTGGAGCAGAGGCTCAACCTGCAGCATCCGTTGTTGTAGGGGTTACCCCCATGGCCGATCTGGTCACAAAGGCTGAGTTCCAAGCCTTTGTTGACTCAATTCAGCGGTCCTTGGAAGACCTAAAACTCATCATCCAAGGAATTGTTGAAAACCCACCATCCATCGATATCTCCACCCTTCAACAATCCCTTGCGACCCTTGCAAACCAAACCCGAGATAATACAATCCGTCTCCAGATGCTGCAACAAACCATCACCCAACACCACAACACCACCTCCTCCCTTGCCACCCAAAGAAACCAACTCCTCATACACTCCATCACCACCCTCACGGCCCAGGCAACTGCAATCGATGAGACCCTAGCCTCCATAAGCATCCAGATAAACACCATCTTCCAAATCCTTAACGCACTACCAGCCTCCATAATCTCCCAAATCTCTCAACCAACCCCACTTCAAACTTTTTCATCAATCGATGAAATCCTAGCCTCCCTCACCAACCAAATGACCACCATACAAACCACCCTAACCCAACTCACAGCCACAATGCTAGCCAACATACCCCAACCTCCACCACCTCCACCTCCTCCTGTAGGCCCATCATTCGATGCAGCCTTCTCATTCTTCACTGCAGAGGTGAGAAATCTCTTCGCCAACCTCTCCATTCCTCCATCTACATCCACCACCACCTCCGTGCCACCACCCACTTCATCATCAAGCATGGAGTTTGCCACCAGAGCCGACCTCAGGGCTCTGTCCAAAGTACTAATCTCATCATTCAATGAGATAAGTGCCAAGTTTGCTGCCAGGTCAGTTGAGCCTACCAATGCGCTGAAAAAGAGTCTCTTACTACATCAAGATCGAACGAACTCTCTTCTTCGCTCCATGGAACTATGATGCAACAAGGATCGCGTGCGCACATAGGCCGATCACATACAACTATGGAAGAAAAACAGGACAAGGGCCTTCTGTTCATCAAGCCGCCCCCTCAAAAAGCGAAGGCATGAGGATCCAGACACCGATGATCATGGTCTCGGTCCTCATGAGGGGGAGAATCAGGCCACCGCTTCACAACCAATGGAATCCACTGCACCTTCAACATCCCATCACCAAACACAAAACCCACCATCATCACCAAACCAAGGAACCCAAGGAAGGGAACCAGAGGCTCAGCCCTCTAAAGATGTACATAATGTACATGTTCCCCTTGCCACCATACCTGAACCCATCGTGTTGAGTTCCTCATTCGATGAAAGCCCATCAACCCCACCAACAGAAACCAACCCGCCTTTTACCACATAACCAACACCAAGCCTACCATTAACCCCATCACCAACTCCTCGCACCACAGAACCTTTCATCACCCTACCCAATGAACCCGAACAAATAACATCCAACCTTCACCTCAACAACCTCAAACCCAAACACAACCCGATGAACCTGAACCACCCCAAAATAAGCCAACCCAAGAAACCATCCCATCACCAACCGATACACAACCTATAACCCAAACTCAACCCCCAACCGAACCAACTACGGTGCATGTGGACATTCCCTCTTCATCAAGGCACCCTCCGCAGAGCTTAGTCGACGAGATCATCCAGAATATGGAGTCGCTAAGGAGACGTCCGGAGATTCCACCAAGGGAACCAATTATGATGGAGAATATCCATCAGTACTTATACCACGATCGCGATGAAAGTTTGTCTCTCAATCCTCCAGTTCTATCGCCAGAATCCATGGACCTCCTACACCATAGGTTTGTTAGACAGACTACCCAACCACCACAAGCTGTGTTCTCAAACGATGGGATAAGGATGGTAATGGACATAAAGATGAGGACCTTCGCTAATAGAGATATCAGATATATCGAGTACACAATGGAGGAGCCCATGGTCAGGTCAGCGTCTTCAATGATAATGACTTGATCAATCTCAATCCCTATGACTTGATCGAGCTTTATCCATTCACAGCTCAGCGACAGGATCAAGGAATAAGATTTGGGATGGCAAACAGAGCAATTGTGAAGACGATGGAGACCTTGGTTAAGCATCAAGCCAAGAGTGATTTTTAGATTGCTCTTCATTTGGGCATCGAAAGACTCTCCTGCACTCCACCTGATGAAGACTTCCCTGGCCTGCATGAGAAGAGATAGATAAAGAAATTCTTCAGACTAACTGAAGCATTCAAGTACTCAAACGACACACTTGAATGGTTTTAGAAAGTTATCAGAGAGAAACTGGGTAGAACTCATGTGCCAAGAGAAGACGAGAATCAACTCATTCATGAGATATCAACAGTCCTCAGTTATCGAAGACTGCTTCTGCGCTTCTAGGAAATATCTCAAGGTAGATCATAAATAGAGTTTTTAAAATTTTTGTCTTAAATTGAAATGTCTTTCCTTCCAGTACTGTAAGAATTCATCATCCAATGAAAATTTGGAAATTGATGCTTTTCTTTAGATTAGTCTCTGTTCTTCAATATTGTTCATAGAATAGTTTATGTTTGTTCTTTCATTACTTAGGGGGAGATTGTTAGACCCCACAATTCATAAGTGTAAAAGTAATGAAGAACAATAAGTGATGAAGAACCAGAAGACCGATGAAGACATTAAGGCAGAATTGACCAAGTCTGGAGAACAACCAGAGGGTCGATGAATCGACCAGAGATACGATGGAAAGAGCATCTTCATCACCCCTCTGGTCAACAACACTTAGAGTTTTCTTTAGCAGTTCAACCAGAGGCATACGATGAAGATATGAAGATAAGGTTGAATTAACATCCCATGGATGACAGCTGGAGATAACAAATCGACAGCTGGATTTCAAGTTTATCTTAATTTATAGTTTATCCATTCTTAGATAAACATTATCTTGCCTAGAAGATTGGCTAGACAGTCTTACTAGATAGTTATCTTCTTATCACTAGTATAAATAGGTGATTAAGCCTATTGTAATCAATGTCGCTTTTACGTTTTCATATTGAATAAAGTGAAATTATTGGCACTCAAGATTGTTCTTTGAATGCTCATACATTGTTCTTGAGTGTTCATCATTTTGTTCATTGAAACACTATAATTTGGTTATTCTTAACTTGATTATCAGTATTATTGAGAGATCTGGTATCAACACTGGGATACTCATCTGCCGTTAATTGAGTTTTCTTACAACAATAGCTACCATTCGACGATTGGAATGGCATCGTTGGTAGGGCTGTAAACGAACCGAACGTTCAGCGAACCGTTCGTGAACCTTTCGGCAGGAAGTTCGTTTATGTTCATTTATTTAATAAATGAACGAACATGAACAAGAGCCTCATTCGTTCATTTATGTTCGTGAATGTTCGTTCATTTATGTTTGTGAATGTTCGTTCGTTTATGTATTAATTTTAATATATAATATTTATTTATTTATTTTGAATTCAAATTTTAAAAACTTTTTTAAGTATTGGGCTTTTAAGAGGGTTTTGGACTTTTAATATTGGGCCTTTTTTAAGAGGGTTTTGTTGGGGTTGTCTTCTAGGTTCTCACACAGTATGGTAGTAACTCTAGGTCAAGTTTGTAGCAATCGACTGGTGGTCGTGACTAGTGAATGCCAGAAGCAGAAAGGCAGATTTATTTTCGTGACTGGTGTTTGTGACTCGTGAAGGGTAGAAGCAGAAGGGAAGATCAATTTTCATGACTGGTGGTCGACTGGTGACTTGTGAACTCGTGAATCGCCAATCATGAAGGGTAGGGACAGTCTCTATCTAGGTACGTTCTCTATCCCTGCTTCATAGTTATGTAATTTTCTTTTGGGGAGAACCTGATAGATATATAAGTGAACCTGGTATATGAGATAAGTAATTTTTTTTTGCTTTCGGCTTAATAGTTCTCGTCTATCTTAGGTACAGGGATGAACAAATAAGTGTATAAATTTTATAATGCAAACCCCCCCCCCCCAGATTTTGTTAGAAAGAAAATGATCTAAAATATGTGTAAAACAAAGTCGGTTGAATAATGTGAGGCTCATATTTGTAAACAATCGAACAACCCACCATGGCTGCAAACTTACTGGTTGCAATGTCAGAGATGAGAGAACATAAGCATTTATGCTGCATATATAATTTTATATTTTCCATATTGTGATAACCGAATCCTGGTTATCACCTAATGTAATTAATACATGATTATTTATTAAATGATTACATGATAGCATGATAAATTGTTATATTTGATCATGCTAGTATGTGAATTTTTATGCATAGGAATTATATGCATAATATGAAATGCATATGCTATATATATATATATATATATGTATATGTATGCATGATATATGTCCATGAAATGGGTGTGCATATATGAACATATATGCATGGTGTTTGTATGCATGCATGTGGGAGTGTGAGAAGCCGCCTTCCTGTTTGGGAAGGATATAAAAGGAGGTTTAGCCTTCATTTTTCTCTTCTTGCCATTTTGGAGAGTCAAGTGTGCGATTTAAAAGAAGGGGTGGTGACCGAATTACTTTTGATTGGAATCAAGTAGATTCAAAGTTGGGTTCAATCTTATTTCTAAAAGATTGTAAAGGTGAGTGGTTAAAATGTTTTGAATCCCTTTGAATTGCATATTAAATTTAGTTTTAAAAGTTTACTGGACTTAGCTTAGCTTTAAATCGGGCAATGTGTTTTCCGATTTATCTCTAGACCGCCCATAGTGTCGTATGATTTAGAGTTGGTCATAATTTGATATATATAAATCGCTTGGAATGTTGTCTGGATTGATAAATCGGACAAAGGGTTGAACGGTTTAGGTTAAATCGGACACATGTTGTCCGGTGTAGCTTCAAATCGAACATAGTGTCATGCGATGTAAGTGTTAGTGGGATTTGAGAAATATAAATCGGTTACTGATATTGAACGGAGAAGTAGGAATACGACTAAGAGGTGTCCGGATTGATAAATCAGACAAGGCCTCGAGAGTGTTGTCCGGATTAGTAAATCGGACAAAAATCTTGTGTTGTCCGGATTATTAAATCGGACAGGTTGTATAGTGTTATCCGGATTAGTAGACCGGCCAAGCTTTACCGAAGATGAAGTTCGGCCAAGTCTGTGTTGACTGCATTTGTACATTGACTTATGTATTATTTATACAAATTGTTAATTTAATATTCTTGTAAAAAGAATGGGAATTTTGATAAAAATGATTTTGAACTGATGATATTCCATTTGAACACTTATGGCTGCGGTCTGTTTTAGTTGGAAGTGTTTTGTGAAAAAATGTTTTGATGAGAAAATAAGGGTGACATATCAAGGAGAGGTGTAGCATGGGATAAGGGTGGCATATCAAGGAGAGGTGTACCATTGGATAAGTGTGACATTTCAAGGAGAGGTGTACCTTTGGATATAAGGGTGACATTTGCATATGTGTTATGTGATATAACTCTTACTATTATAGCCCTTAAAATTACCGTGGTCTGGAATCTTTATTTCTTTGTGATTTAAAGGTTTAGGATTAGGGTTCTTATTGGCAATCATAGTCTGCATGTTATTGAGGAAGAAATAACAGGTTTGGCCTGAAACTTTAAATAAACCTTGTTTAATTGAAAAAGTTTAAAAGTGGCATTCTGATAAACCTGGTTAGTACAAACCTATTTGGGTTTTGATGTATTATCTGAAAGCTGAGAGTTTGGCTTGAAAAGTGGAAAGGTACTGATAATTATGTCCTTACTTGTTCATATATTTGTTATATATATGAAAAGTTATTTTATATAAAAGTTTTGGTGATTTTCACCCTGCAATAACATAAAAAAGGTAACTCACTAGACCTTTTGGTCTAACCCTCATTTTGTGATTTTAAATATGTATTGCAGGAGGTACAGACGGTAAGGGGAAGGGGAAAATGTAATATATTTCTATGTGCATATCTGCATGAAGATTTGGCTATGCTATGCGTAATTTTGTTAGAAGAATGTGGAATAGTACAAGAATTGTATTTTGAATTTTTGGACCATGTATTCAGTACTGGTAGATTTTTGTACTAAGGGACCTATGTGGTGTATAAATATGTATTTCTTATGTATGAAGTACGTGTTACATGCAATGTATGGTATGAAGTGTTTCACATATATAATTTTATATTTTCCATTTGCAATGTCCCATATATAATTTTATATTTTCCCTTTGGAAATGCAATGTCCATCTAAAGTTTGTATAAATAGTTTAAGCTTTTATCTCTTTTCCATATCATACAATCTCAATACCCAGAATATTATAAGTTTCATAGAAGCAGATTCTATCAGTTTGAAATGCGTAAGCATGTTCTTTCATTTTGAATATAAAGCCACAATACCCATAGTTTGCTTGTTAACTATACTTGTATTTATAGCTTAGAATTTTATACTTGTTTTTTTCTAAATTTCCGTTGGTTTTATATAGTTAATTTAAATTATTTTTTTGATTATTGAAAATGTTTTTTTCTCATTTTGTAGATGTCTGATGTCTCTTGTAGCGGTTCATATTTCTTTCATGATGATTTCTATTTAGATCGAATGCAATCGCCTCAAGAACCTGAATCAACGGAAATTGAATCAAGTGCAAACACATCAAGAATGGAAAGTACTCCTGAAGTGGTTGTTATCGGATCGAATGATGGAGACGACGTTGTGGCATCCGTTGATGGTGGTAGAGAAAAGGCCAACATAGTCAACAATGAAGAATCTACTCCATATGCTAAAAGGAAAAGAAAGAAGACTTCGGGAGTTTAGGAACATTTTCGATTGGTGAAGTTGGCTAATGGAACTGAAGTTTGTGAGTGCATCCATTGTGGTGAGAAGATAAAGAAACTTAAAGATGGAACCACCACACCATTGCATAGGCATATTAGTGATTACCCAAAGTTAAGAGCCGTCAACACCATTCATCCAGGTCAATTAAAGTTAAAGGTTGTGCCAGGGAAATTAGATTCTTCTATGGTCCAAAACTGGAAATTTGACAATAGTAGGATTAGAGHGSTTGTTTCTCAYATGATTATGGTTCATGAGTTGCCATTTAATTTTGTTGAGTATGAACTATTTAATGTGGTTATGAAGGAAGCTAACCCCGGGCTTAACAAGATTTCACGTGCATCGGCTAAGCAAAATTGTGTTGCTAGTTATGAGATAGGCAAGAAAAGAATCAAGAAAATGTTAAGTGCTGTCAATCATGTGAGTATAACAACTGAAATGTGGACGTCAGTGCAGAATATTCATTATATGGTTGTTACTTGTCATTTTGTAGATTCCGATTTCAAGCTTAACAAATGCATACTGAGTTTTATTGATGTACCACCACCTTATTCTGGACTATGTATATATGATTCCCTCTTTAAGTGTTTAAAAGAGTAGAATATTGAGACAAAGGTTGCTACTTTGACGGTTGACAATGCTACAACTAATGATGTGGTGGCTACAAAGTTGATGGAAATTATGAATCTTCAGAAAAAACTTGTTATTGGGGGAAAGTTATTCCATGTGCGGTGTTGTGCACACATTCTCAATTTGTTGGTTCAAGATGGTTTGTCGAAAACTAAAGACATTATTCACAATGTTCGTGAGAGTGTGAAACACGTGAATGTCACTCCGGGTCGATTATATATATTTAGCGAACTTTCCAAGCAAATGACCTTATTAAAGAAGCATTTAATCTTAGATGTTAGTACCCGATAGAATGCTACGTATGCTATGTTGTCTACGGCCTTGGAGTTTAAAGAAGTGTTTGTAAACTATGCCGATCGAGAATCAACATACAAGACCTTGCCGACCTCGGAAGATTGGGACAAAGTTGAAGTTATTTKCTCMTTCTTGGGGCTTTTCAATGAGGTTACAAAAATAATTTCAGGTATTATTGATTTTCTTTATGGTTTTCATTATAAGTCATTTTTTCGAAGCTAATCACCTAATTCTCATAGAMTTTTATTTACTTCTTTTATTTTATAGGCTCCGAATATCCTACCTCTAATTTGTTTCTTAGTGAGTTGTATGGGATTAAAGAAGCATTAGATGATTTATCTTTGGATGAGAGCAAATATATGAGAGATATGGCTCTCAAGATGAAAAAGAAATTTGACAAATATTGGGGTACTTGTAATCTGTTGATTTCCATTGGTGCTATTTTAGATCCTAGATACAAGATGAAGTTGGTTGAGTTCTCTTTTAGTTCCATTTATTCAGCGGATGAGGCACCTAAGCAAATGAAAATTGTTCTAGATACTCTTACTAAAATGTTTGAAGAGTATGTTGAACAACATAAAGCAGCTAATGTTGTTCAAATGAGTAGTGCACCTGACAAGAGTGAGAGTGGAGTTAGGAGTGGTTATAACAAGTTAAGTTCTAGAGTTGGTATCAAGAGTGGCGCGGCAAAGTATGATCAACATATTAGAAGCGTTGACACTTTTGCAAGTGTGAAGTCAGAGTTAGACATTTATTTAGAAGAAGGCATGTACATTGGTGATTCAGGTGCATATTTTGATGCCTTGGAGTGGTGGAAGGAGAAAAATATGAAATTTAGAATTTTGTCTAAAATGGCTGCTGATGTTTTGGCAATTCCGATAACTACTGTTGCTTCAAAATCAACTTTTAGTGTTGGTGGGAGAGTTATCGATGGTCATCGCGCCTCTTTAGGGACGAAGACGGTAGATATGCTCATTTGCGGAGATGATTGGTATCGTCATCATTATGGACTACACAAAAAGAAAACCAAGGTAATTTGCTTAATCTTATCAATTATGATACTTGTTTTCTTACAATAACTAATAATTGTTTTGTTTGTTTGTTGTAGGAAACTGATGATATGATATATATTGAACTTCCATGAGGTGACAACTGACAAATGATGATGAGCGGATTGTTTTTTTTTTTGTTCAAATGATAATGTTGATTTGTTTTTTTTAAACTATGGACAATTGGTGTGTAATAGTTAACTGGATGATAAATAGTGGTGTTCGTTTGTTCATTTAGGCATGTTCGTTTATGTTCGTTAAGACTATTCGTTTATGTTCGTTAAGACTATTCGTTTATGTTCGTTAGGCCTGTTCGTTTATGTTCGTTCGTTTACGTTCGTTTAACTTGTTAACGAACAAACATAAACGAACACGAACACATCGGATTTCTAAACGAACGAACACGCTCACAATTATTTTCGTTCGTTTACCGTTCGTGTTCATTCGTTTGTTCGGTTAAGTTAAACAAACGAACACAAACAAGCCTCCGTTCGTGTTCATTCGGTTCGTTTATAGCCTTAACCGTTGGAGGCCCTATACGGCCGTAAGTGTCGTATGTCCTTATGTTGGAGAGAAAGTGGGGAAAAGATACTAGCTAGACCTGAACATGTACAAATCACACACGACAAAATACAGGTGATTCGAGAGGGAATGAAAGCGGCTCAGGACCAACATAAGTCATACGCTAATCGGCATAGAAGACCGATCGAGTTCTTGGTCAAAGATTTGGTCATGTTGAAAGTTTCCCCATGGCATGGAGTATTAAGGTTTAGAAAGAAAGAGAAACTCAGTCCTCGCTTCATCGGTCCATTCAAAGTTATTGAACGCGTCGGGAAACAAGCTTACCGTTTAGAACTACCCAAAGAACTAGCGGGTATACATGATGTTTTCCATGTCGGTTATCTACGTAAATGTTTGGGAAAACATGAGGAAGTTGTATCATTATTGGAAGTTCAGATAAATGAAAAGCTTCGATATGCCGAGGAGCCCGAAAGTATCTTGAAAGAGCGGACAATGAATTTACGCAACAAATAGGTAGATTTGGTATTAGTGAAGTGGAAACATCATCGCGGACCAAATTGGACGTGGGAACAAAAAGAAGATATGATGGCTAAATACCCTTCATTAATTCTGCAACCATGATTTCGGGGACAAAATCTTCAAAAGAGGGAGGTATTTGTAACATCCAACTTACTAAAAGTCCATTTATGTTGCTAAACATGTTTAACTAAGTCAATAAAGTATATTGTGGGTTTGTGCTTGTTTATGTTACTTGAAAATTGAAAATGAGAAAAGTGTACAAATAAAAAAAAATGTCTAAGTGTGCACTATAAGGCCATATAGGGGAACCCATGTTCTTGTGGTAAATAAGTGAAAAATATCAAAGTTAGATTGGAGTATGGACTTTTGGATTAAATTAGAGGCTGAAATTGTATACTTAAGCTTCTTATAAATTAACTAAGAGATCTGGAAAGTTTCTTGCGAAACGGAGTTGAAACGACCAAAATACACATGAGGGACTAAATTTACCCATAGTGGCAAACTAGGTTGACTTGTTGACCAAAATAGGTCAAAACCAGAGTTTGCACTCTAAAATGGTTATTTCACCTCTAGAACTTTTTCACACACTCAAAGGTGAGATTTTCACATAATTGGGCTTAAATCTTTCAATTCCTGATGATTAATGTTAGATTCTTGAAGAATATGTGATAATTATCAAAGGTATGCTTCTAATTTCAAGTTTATTCCATGTAGTTAGCGATAATCAAGAAGGTTAGGGTTTGAATTTGAAAGATTGAAAAAAGATGATGATAGATTAAGGTTGTTCGATGATTATTATAGTTTAATCATGAAAGAAACTTGGAATAATTGCATGCATTAGTATGAAAGCCATGAGATTAAGCATTGTTAGTGATGTTAATGATGATTAATGTGGGAAATCATGTTTATATGCTAATAATGATAGAATTTCTGAAGTTTTGTCAAGAATATGTAATATATGAGATGAAAACCAGAAGGTGGTATTGAAATACAAGAGAATTGGACATTATAACGGATTATATGGGTGTATTGGTATTGAAAGAGTATGGTTATAGCTCTGATTTTGAAAATTCGTAGAAAATTGAAGACAAATCGTATGAATATGAGATCAGTGTCCATGGAAAGATAACATAATTAACTACAATTCATATTTAGACATGAAAATGTGAAATTGAAGTTAAGATAGGTAAAAACTGCAACATGTACTGTGTTGTAAAGCTGAATTTTGACAACTTTGAGCTGTTGTGTTATAAATACATAATAAATCACAAAAAAATCATAAAAATGTGAGGTCAGATGCATTAGGAATCTATAAGAGAATACTTTATTTAGTATTTATAAGTCATTGGCTAATTATGAGTCTAAGTGTGGTAAAACATGGGATTAACAGAGGGATGTACAGGGGAATTGAAAATAGGATAGTGAAGGTCTAAAAGTGTATAACTTGAGATTGGTATATAGTTTGTTAATGATACTTGAAATGTTTACTCCAGGGGCTATATTAAGGCTATTTAGAGCCTCTGAAGGTCTAATGCTATTGTTGGTTGGAATTGGATGTTACCGCGTTCGTTTGTTTACATTGAAGCACTGTGAGTTTATATCGAACTTATACATATATGTAGTATATGTATATGTTTTCTTACAATAAATTAGTTGATTTTGCATGCGTTATTTTGTATGGTGATTCCCCTGGCCTTGTAATGGTATTTGTTGTTCATTTCGCGTTGTTGGTCGAGTCCGGATCTGAGACTGTTTCTTTGGCCTCTTGGTAAACCATGATCTGCGGGTATTACTTCGGGTGATATGCTGTAGCATGGTGTATGTCCACGTATCCCAAGGAAAGGGAGGTTAGGTGTGGCATATCAGTTGTTGTATTCACGTATCCCGATTGGTAAGGAGCCGGGTGTGAGTACTTTGCACGGGCCCTGTAGACGAAGAGGGGGTGTGGTGCACATGTATACTCTATTCTTGGTAGTGATGCTTCTGTTTTGATATGTTTGTTGTGCTTAAATTGTTACCACTTTTGCGAATCACATGGCAAGGTATGTTGACTGTTTGACTTGTAGTTAAACGATTCTTTCTATTTTGTTTCGGTTAATATTTGTATTTTACATCATATTTATACGCTTCGGTATAATCTCACTAAGCCTTGTCGCTTATTCTTTTAGAATAAACATTTTTTTCCAGGAAGGACGGTAACGGTCAAGGGTAAAGATAAGGCGGTGTAGATCTGTTAGAAGGATTCAAGATCCCAGACGTCATTTTGGTACTTGTTATGTATATATTTCGTCATGGGTTGTATTTATGTAGTTATTTCATTCGGGTAGTTATATATTTTGTCCCGACTTTTGGTATTGAAATTGTTGGTTGTAAGTTTCGTTAAACTTTTTGGTGAAAATCTGTAACTTATATCCCGTATCTGTTTTGGAGATTATATTACGGAAAATGTTTTGGGTAAATAGTTTTTGAACTTAGTGTAACCGCTATGTTAGAATTATGGTATCAGAGCAGCAGTTTAAGCGATCTGAATATCAGAAATGGTATTTAGACTTAAACCTAGGCATTGAGATCATATAGTAACTAGGTAATGATTTATACGGGATATGGACCTATAGGAGGGACCTAAGTTGGGTTGGGAGCAAGGGTAGGATTGTGTTTAACATATATGTGCTGTAATTTTTCTCAACAAAAATGTCGGAGCATGATGAGCAAAGTCAAACACTAAATGTTGGAGAAAACAACTCCACACTGAATATAAATGCTCTAAAAGGTGTCGGGAACGATGAAAATCCCGCTTTGTCCCCTCGTACAGAACGACTATTGAATTTTTTTGATGATTGATTGACTACGGCTCTGGAACGACAAGGTCAGGAAATGGAGCAACGCTTTGAGGAAGAACGTAATCTAAACAATCCCCTGGAACCCGACAATCATGGTAAGCATCCAAACGAAGCCAAAGATGCATTGAAACCTAAGTCCGACCGGGTTTCATTTAAAACTTTCAGAAGCAGTGGTGCTACAGAATATACAAGGCAATCAAATCCCGAATTGGCGATGCAATGGATCCAGAACACGGAAAGGTATTCCGGATTACCAAGGTACTAGATAGCGATAAAGTAAAATATGCCTCTGCGATTGTCACGCCTTGATTTTTTTTTCTTTCGTTCGAGTGCAGTGACGTCATTCTCAGTAACTTATGTCATGAACAAAAATACGAACTTAAAATTTCAAACACACATAATATGTTTAACATAATTTGTTACATAATTGCGGAAGCATAAATACTTTAACGTAATCAATGATAATTATTTATCTAATCAAGCATGATTCAAAACATAGTTTCCTCTTTCTTCATTCAACTCGTCTACTAACAATTGATACCTGAGATATATACATGTATAGTATAAGCTAAAAGCTTAGTGAATACAATATGGTTTCATGATCACATGCACACATAAACAGTGTTTTAGTGTATTTTAGTTATTATCTTGCAAGTAAAGCCTCGACTCGTCACTTTTCTTTGCGTATGTGGTGTATTCTATGGACGAGGACTCCAAGACCTCGGAATTGCAAGCCCTCCTTTCATGTCCAACCCACCCCGTATGGTGGACGAATCTTGCTGAATCATACTAGTTGCATATCATTTATTTGCAATACTCATTGATTAATGCAAATCTCATCGTGACATGCAACATACATCTCATGCAAGTGACAACATAAATCACATATGCATCATCGTCATCTTTCACATTATACACATACTTGAATATCATATTAATAATACCAAGTCATCATAATCTTTCTCATCGATATTCTCTTTCATATCATGCATATACTTGAACATCATATACATCAATACAATCAAGTTATCATCATATACATATAAACACATCATGCAAATATCATGGATAAAATACTTTGTAATAATCATGTATATATCCCATAAAAATCGGATAATGTACTCACCTTCAATCGTTAACGTTCGATAGGTCGTTCTCTCAAAAACTGCAACCTACATGATAATTCATATCATTCCTAAGCACTTTAGGTAATC